CGTGGATAATGAAATAGTTAGACGTGACTTGTATTATAATCGGCTCACCTAACTTTCATTTGGCTTGAAAAGTAGACTTAATAAAAGCAAGAGTGAAAGGCATTTTATGTTTTTAATAAGGAGTCTCATATGGTATAACCTGCTGTTTTTCATTGTATGTCTCTTCTCATGGTTTCCTTTTGAGGCACCTGACAGAAGAAGAGCAGTGAATGTCTCTTAATCTTAAAGCTTTTTGAAAAACTGCAGTGGTAATCAACACTACTGATCAGTAATTTCCAACTGCAGTAAGAGTGACTTGAAGTTTTTACATGTACATCTTAGATTTTAAATGGGTAATTATTTGTTTGCTGGTGAAGACAGTCCTCTTCATCAAAATCAAACCAAAATATCTATACACCCCAGAATGAAACATCTGTTTAATCACTTACTAGCAATTTTGTTTTCAATATCTTATTATAAGTTTGTAAAAATCTCTCTACCTTTTCAATGTCTCAAGTTGGACTGTAAAGGAGCTAAAGAAGTTTGTGCCGCTCTGTCCTATCACAGGACAGAGCCATGTTCCACATAAAGCTTTAGAAATTCCTAGAAGCATAATGAATGGAGACAAGATCAAACAATGAAACCTGAGACCTAGGTGTGACAAGAGCACTGAAAAATAGCTTTCTAATGTAAGCCAGAACTCTTTATTGTAGTGTTGTAACCTTTTTTTGACTAGACAGTCATTGCTAAAGGTGATCCACAGCATAGCTCCAGGGAAGCCCCATCCTTGCTGCTGCAGACCTGGATCAGCATGTGCACCACAGCACAGGTGAGAGGTGGGATACAGGTCCAAGGGCAGGATAAATTGAAGGTGAGGTGGCTGAGAAGCCTCTGTAGGAAATTCTAAATAGAAATCTGATTTCTGAAGTCAAATGCATAATGATAGCAGCCTAGTTATGAGGAAGAAAGCCCTGTCCCCCAAAATGGGCAGCTGTGCTTTCAGGGGAATACGTTCAATAAATGCAGGCATGACTGATGTGATTGTATGAAATGGGAGCTGACTGAAAGTATCTGGTCACTCTGTAAAAAATACTGTTGGTCAATGGTTAAAAGTACTTTGAGGGCTGGGCAGCTGGTTACTTTCCCCTTTGATTAAGGACATCTGTGTTTTGGTGCATACCATCTCCCAGTTCTGTTGCCACTTGTTCTGGATACAGAAGGTAATACCAAAAATACTGTCTTCCAACTCTGACTGTTAAATGATGGCATTAATTTTTCTCCTTGTTGCAGCTGGAAATGAAAAGTCCCATTTCCTATAAACTTCAGATGTGTATTTTGCACCTTCTTCTGCTTAGCATTGCCATTAAACTCTACATAAAAGCTGAAATTAATAGAGCACTCTAAGCAACTAATATTATGAGCAGCAAAGTAGATGGTAGCATTACTAACCACTGCCCTGTTTTGACAGTTCTTGATGGATTGGTTCAGGTACTTGTGTCAATACTTTATGTAGATGTCTTTTCAGCTCTGCAAGAAGTATGCAGGCAATGGCTGGATTTCACGCCTGTTTACCTTTGGGAAAGGTGTGTATGTGGAAGATTTTAATGATCATGCAAGATCTTGCTTTCATAAAAATGCCCGGAGAAGGAACTGGAGACATCTGATGATGGCTTTAGACAAGAGCTAGACAAAACTATTTAATGAAAATAAATTTAAAAAATATTTTAATTGAATTTATTGCTTAAGAACCACACTGGCCTCTCAGCTCCCATCCAACACCCCCCCCGAAAAGCTATTACGTGTCATCCCTTCCCTGCTTATAGCCTCCAAGATTCCCTAAGATTCTTTCAGCTACACTCACACCTGACTACCCACTGACTTCTTATAATCCTCTATTGTTCCGTCCTCCCACTCCAAACCTATTCTACAGCCCCAGCAAAACCAGATTTTTCCCTTTCCTGCTGAAAATCATTGAGCTGGCTCAGTTAGTTGTTAGGAACTCAGTGGAGCCCAACCATGCCTTGACAACCCTTTAACCGCTTCCACTTGCTTTGACCTCTTGTTCTCAACTCTGCAACTGTCATGGTTGCAGCAGGTAATAGTCTGTTTTCAGTTCCTTTAGCTGGGCAGTGCTTGTGCAGTGTGGAAGGGAATGCTGCCACACTGCGTTAAATGATCCAGCTATTCAAAGAAGTATCTATCCTTCTTTTTAATTACAGGAAATTGAGTGAAGTATGATTTGTTGTATTATGTACTGAACAGTGGATGTTATAATGCATTTTTTCTACAGATAAAAACATTTCTGTTGAACACAGTTTCAAGAAAGGTCTCTCTCAGTGGGAAATAATCAGTCCACTGAAGTCAGTGATAAGTCTAGCTGAATTCGGTGAGACAAAGATTCAACCATTAGCTTACAAATCAGATAAAAAATAAAACTAAAATGATCAGATCATTCACAGATGACTCTTCCACATATTTCTAAAGCTTTATGCTTAAAACATCTTGATAAAGCTGTTACCCTACAACTGGGATTGGCTACTATGTGCTTCACAGCCAAAAGTATTGCTGGTCCTTTCCATTACTGATGGTCAATACATCTGTGGTGTTGTGTACCCTTGTGTGAAAAAGGACAGAATGGCATGAGACTAAATCATTGGTCTACCGGGAAATGACTTATTGCTTCATACCCTGTGTAGGAGGACTGCTGGACACTGAAGTGGACATACTTCACTTTATTCATGGGTTACTCTGAGGTCTGAGTTACTTATGGAAGAACTAATGTTCCTTGGAAATGTCAGTCAGAACTTTTCATTTTAATCATATGCCTGGTTGAACTCAAAACTGGCATTTTATATTGACACTGTGCATGAACTGACATGTCATTATACACATGCTAACCTAGATTTATAAAATAATAAAATCATTGTGGTTTAAATTCCCACAAAATATTGATGGAAAAAGTGTTATACGCTTATGGGAGTAGCTTACTTGCTAATGTGTTTGCCATTTTTTACTGACCTTATTGTGAATGCAACCTTGCTGCAGGCTCCTGCAAATTGGAGCTCTGCTACAGTATTTCTTTTCGGTTAATACCTGCAGAACCACATACTTACTGGAAGAGTACTCTATTCTTCCTCCCCTGCTTTTGGAATACATTAGCCTAATAACCAAAATGACAGTCTAGAATAATACATCTTTATTTATTGATGTATTTCTTGGTTCTGCTCTGTGATAAGAGGCATAGTGACTTCATTCAGGCGGTGTATGACATTGACAATTTCTCTCCATTTCAGTGTTCATCTACCTGAAGGAAAACTAGCCTGAATCAAGAAGAAAGAGAGTTTTCCTTTATTTGCTATGTTAAAGTGAAGCTATGTTAAGGGAATGTGAAGGTTGCAAAAGCATGCTTTCGGTAGGGGGAGGAGGTTTCAGGATTAACATGGTCAGTGTCACGTTTTAGGACTTTCATACTCATGCATTATGATACTGCCTTTTGTTACAATTTGCATACTATTTCAGTTGTACAGTAATGCTAATAATGTCATTTCAGTTTAAAATGGTTTTCAGCTGTGAGACAGCTAGGTCTTTCAGGGAATACTAAAGAAAGAAGCCTGATTTTTGTATATCCTAAGCCAGAGAGGGTGGAACGATTGAAAGAAGACAACAGGGATGGTATTCATTTGGAAAAAGGTGGGGTGTTTTTTTTTTTTGATGGTATGACATTACTTATCCCCCCAAGGTAAGAACTTAAAACTGGAATGAGATTACTTCATGGCAGATCTTTCACTGTAAAGTGATTGAAAATTGGAAAAGTACTTAAACAGCTGCATGGAATTATTGTCCAACTTGGAAAAAAAGAGCAACAAAGTGATTGACCTTTATTTGAGCTCTTTTAGCTTAAATTGTTCTTTGTATCTTTATTTGACTCTGGTATTTGCTAATTTTAGTCTGAGGTATGTCTCTGAGTTTTATAGAGTTGAATTACAATTTTTCTGTTGTGGCAACAATGTTGGTTGCTTTTTTATTAACCCACTGAAACAATCATACTAAAACTATATCTATGGCTGGGTATCAAATCTTGATTATGCGCTTAAATAGAAAACCACATTTTCAGAAGAAGCTGCATGCTCACGAATTCTCCCGACTACTGACTTTGTGCTGCTTCCTCTTCCTCTGTTACCTGAACTGTAGCTTGTCTCCTTCCTGGAGCGCGTCTCCTTTGTACTGGGTATAGACAGAATGATGCTGGTGAGTTGTGTGTATTTGAGCAAAAAATAAAAATAGAAATGGCTATGTCTTGAAAAATGACTTGTAATTTTGCCCTGAATTTTAAACCATTATGTAATTTCTGTGTTGGGAATTTCTAGTTTTGTGTTCCAATACAACAAAATGGTTTGACAGAAAAATAATCTAAGAAATTTTTGTAAAGGTAACTTATTAGGCATTTACATGGGGAAAAAAAGGAGCAACAGTTTAATAGAAATGTCTCTGAGCAGATAAAGTTACGTTGCCCTGAAATGATTGTGTCAGATCAAGGGCTGTGAAGTAATACAGATGAGCATATCAAAGTTGTCTTGGACAGTATGTATCAGGGTCATTAAAGCCAACCTTCAGATACAGTAAAGAATTAATTTTCTAACGTAGTAGAGAAAAAGTGAGAGAGGAACTGAAACTGTGACATTTGTCTTTGAATTTAAAAAGGACACAGAAATTGAAGGAGAACAGTACTGAGGTGCTAAGGGAGGCACAGGGAGCTTGTAATGATCTTGTCGCTTGTATTCCACGGTAATGTGCAGTTCTTCCCTTCCTGCAGAGATTTCTATTGAAATTGCCCATATCTATTCTGTTCTAATAAACCTGCTTGTAATTAGTGGGACCTAAGTTCGTTTCTGAGATTCACTTTGGAAAGAAAAATAGAACTAGCTATTCTAAAGTAAAATGAACTTGATATTTGACTGCAGAAGTGGCTGAACTAGAATAAAATTCCAATAATGTGAGATCTTCAGAAAAAATAGAGGATGTTAGACTTAACTCTGAAGAAACAGGAACAAATTAACTTTCTTCTCCAGGTTGGTGAATAGAAGTATTGCAGTTTGTACAAAAGGGAGTCGCTTATGTTTCTGTTGGAAAGAACAGAAAAATATGGTGGTAGATTAATAAAGTGTACCGAATTCAGAAGCATTGGAATATACATTGAGAGTTGAAAGTAAAAATCATTTTGGCTTAAGTCATTTATAAATAGCATTGAAATCAAATAATAATATTTTAGGAACAAACATGTTATGTACTTTGAAGAGGTAGCTTTTAAAATATTTCAATAGTTTTCACGTGATTAATTGCTTTGGACTTGAAACCTAATAGATATTTCTTCCTTTATAGAAATGTCAAAAGGAGACATATTATGAACAATAAGGGAAATAGCAAGACAGACTGTGTTACTCTAATTCTTTCCAGAGTTATGTATAATTTTACTAATGTTATTGTTCTCCATGTGCCTACCTCATCTTTTTATAGACGTACATGGATTAATGTGCTAAAATGGAAATTTAATTTAGGGCTAAGCAAACTATTTCCATGGAAATAATAATGTTGTTGATGTCCTTTGGTTTGGGAAGTGTTCCAGAAAATGCAATCCATCAATTTTTCATCAATCTAGACACAGGCCAGAAATAATAATGATTTTTGCAAGTGAACTCAGTATTAATAGGACCTTTGTACTTGTTTTTTCATGATCTTGAGCAGCTGCAGTTTATGGGGTATATGTGTATGTGTATACCTATAGATGCACACATGAATACAAATTTATTGAAGTTCAGATTTATTTTTTTGTCACTTGATTTTTTTCTTAAAAGATAGTAGATATTCATCAAGCCTGAAATTTTCTTTGAACAGCTTTTAGTCTGCAAACTATTCAGCATCATTTGTAGTCTTAGCCATTTAGCTAGTTCCACTCAAGTAAAAAGTAAGAAGCACTGACTTATATAAATGTGTATAGTCTTGCATGTGACTAATAGCTTTATTGAGATCATTCACAAGCAAAATTCTGAATAAATTTAGACATTTGAAGAGCTAAGGATAAAGTAGTATCACATTCAAAAGTTAAAATTTGTGTTCTATTTCCATAGTATCGTGTGCACACACACTAGATTTCATTGGTGAATGCATACTGATGGTGCTGCCAGAGCTGAGAAATTATACTACATCGTGGCTAGAAGCATGTTAGCATTCAGTTTGTTTCTGCCTGATTCTCTTGGGTACTTCCATATGGCAAAACCAACCCGGGAAATGTAAACGCACCATCATCTGGTATAATTATTTGTACTTATTTATTGAGAAAGATATTCAAAATACTATTTTGTTGTAAGTGCTGACATTATTTTGTACTGTCTACATTAATACATATAGAACTTCTGGAGCAAAGACCACTGTTAAACTTTTTTTTTTTTTTTTTTTTAAAACATAAAAGAAGGTAAGGCATTTCCTTAAATGTCAGTGTATATAAAACACTATTTCCAAAGCCTTTATAAATTACAGGCTTTACTGATGAGGCATATTCACATTGCTGCTCAATTTATTTACCCAGGAGACCAATTTATTTTGCTACCTCGGTGCTAACTGTTTCCATTGACATCCAGGTCTGCTCTGACCGAGCAATTGTGACAAGCTGTTTATTGAACTGTAAACGGGCACTGTCTGACTCCAAACAATGGCTTTATCTAATTATGAAACCCCATGCATCATTCTAGTCCAGTGTTGCTGGTTATGCAAACAAGATTTTAATGTTGTTGGAAAATTAATTTAAGTCTGGGTACCCTGTACTACAGTGAAAGATACTTTGCATTGTAAACTCATAGACTGGTAGCTCACATCTTGAAGTGAACTGACTATAATGTTCTGACTGTGGTTTGTTGGGCACTATGAACACCTGAGAAAAGACAAAAGAGAGAAGTGTCTTATAAAACCATATAAAGGAGATAGAATAACTGAACAAAATCAATTGCTTATTTTTAAAATGAATCTGATGTTATCAAAATGAACTCTTAAAAATAAGACAGATAGAAGAAATACAGGTGTACTTATAGAAAGGAAAATTGGATCCTCTAGAAGTTGACTTTCTGGCTTGGAAGTAGTAGCAAAAATTGAACAGACCCACTTGAAAAAAAAAAAAAAATCTGCCATTCTCCCCATTGCTTTGTCAGAAGATAATTGAGTGCAATCAAAGCTTTTGTCTTCAGCTGTCAGTAAGTCAGCTTCTCTGAGAGGTTTATTCAATAATCACAGAAAGAATTCAGAGGGTTTATTCTCCTTTGTTGGTGTATTTTATTTTTATTTTTTCTTTGGTAAAAGGAAACTAACCCAAAATTAATGAACAATTTTGATACCACGAAGTTTATATAAAGAGAAAGAAGAAAGAAAAAAAAACAGGTGGGACTGAATGTGTGTATTAAAGAGCTGAAGACTAGTGTGTTAATGTTCTAGTAATGTACATGAAACTTCTGTGAGTGAGGGCAAATCTGCTTTCCAGTGAGAACTTGTACACACAGTGCTGTTTGTAAACAGAATTCACATAATTCATCTTTATTTCTGAAAACTTTCTTTATTGCTTTTCAAGGCATTGTTTAATGATGTTGTATAATTGGTTTCATGTGTTAAATCCCAGTTGGTAGTTTTGCTATGATTTTCTTATGCAATATGACACTCTCTAAAATTCAATGGTGAATTACTATTAATTTAATCAAATATTTTATTATTAAATCTATTAATATCTCATCTTCTACATGGCTATGCAGATTTTTGAAAGCCATTCCAGTATTTTCTGACAAACTACTCAGTTATACAAAGACTATTTAGTAATCTTTTTGTTCACGTGGTTCCTGTGCTGTAGTTAGGCTGCCTGGGTCATTGTTTATTTTTATCCAGCATCTAGAGTGAATGCAAAGGAGATGCAAGGCACAGAGAAGCTAAAGAAAGTTTACTGAGTATGTAGTTCCCTTGTTCCTGGCTAGAATACACTTTAAAAGAGCCCTATATGATTTTGCAAGTTAATCTCTGTTCGCAGCAGGGTTTGACTTGTAGGAAGCCCGGCATGCTTAGGCACCTGAGGGCTGTCGCTGACAAGGGGCTGCAAGGAGGGGGACTGCCACTGATCGGGCCTAAATGAGTCAGTTGCACAGAGCTGATAAAACTGGAGACTTACTTAAGTAGACAGGCCTGCGCTAAAACAAGCTCCTCTCTCGATTGAAACCCTGCCTGTCACTTTAATCTCCCCTGTCGGGCACTGTCAGGGGAGAGGCTGGAGCTGTGCAGGAGGTGCAGCTGAGGGTGGCATGGGGTGGTGGCCAGGCCAGCGGGGGGGTGGCCTCCCTGCTGCCCCCAGGGCTTGGATGGGCAGAGGTGGTGCAGTGGCATGGAGCTGTGGGTGTTTTGCAGCCTAGATGTGGCCCAAAAAGTAATAGGCAGTGCTAAAGCAAGACTCTTTTTTTTTTTTTTTTTTTTTTTTTTTTTTCCCAGGTGATTCATGTCTTCTCTTGTGTTTTTAATATAGCATAATTCTTGTATCCTGACTGTGCTTTTTCAGCAGCTGGAACAGTCTCCTGGACATGAAGACGTGTGGTACAGAGGTTACAGATCCATCCTGCTGTAAAAGATGTAGTCAGGTATCTTATTGCATTCTTTCCCTTCATCAAAAATAATTTTAAAAAAATTAAAAAATATTTGCTCAAGATGGCAAGCATACAGTGGAGACTTTACATGTTATGTGTGCCATTAGCCAGAGCTCGATCCCTGATGGCAAGGTGTTACTGCCTTGCTTGTTGTCATGAACAATGTACCTTCTCTGCTTAGAGAAAGGCAGATGAAATCAGTGTTACTTTTTTTCAGTTTAAATAATTTTATTTTTACAGAAATGTTTAAGATACTATGCCCATTTCACCAAGATATCACAGGCTAAGGCAATGGCAGAAGAAGAGAGAAAAATAAAAAGGAAAAACGACCCAAGGTCATAAAATATAGCTGGTACCTGGTCATGAACACAGCACTCTGACACTGCTTGGCTTCTCAGGTGAACTTCACAGAGCACAGGCTCCTCTTGTCCTCAGGAGCTCATTGGCATGGATTGGTAAGTGCAGCAAAGACTTCTTCCTTGGAATCTTGAGGCTATGATGATGGGCAGCTGCTCCTCCTTCCTGAAAACTGACCCCTCGGATTGAGCAGGCAAAGGAGCAGTTAGATCAGGGAGTCAAGGAGGAGGAAGAAGGGCAGAAGTAAATAGTAAATAGTTTACACCACTTCTTACCAGCATCTGTAGCTGCTCCTCCCTTGAAGGGCTCCTGTTTGTGGTCTCTCCTGGCAACTGGATGAGGCTGTAAAAACTTTGTTGACAGCTTTGTGTTCTGTTCCACTGAAGATAGCACAGCTACAGCTAATGGGCCATACAGCCTGGAACAGGGGAGCTCTTGAGAAATTCAGATCTAGACAAGAACTGGCGAAGAAAAGTCTATGCAAATATATACATATTTCTGTATATTTACACCTGTATTGCTTGACATCTGAAAATTCTGTTTGGGATTTCTCATAGGGATGATGTCCTTTTAGACCCTGGGCTGGTGGCAGAGCTGAAACATGTTTTATACCGTTAACATTGGAGTTAAACCAGATTGAAGGTGGTGGGTGTGATGGTGAAGATAATAACTACCTTGCATAATGCTTAAGTGTAAAAGACAATTCTGCTGCTTTGGGGAATCCCCAGGTGAAGCATCAGCCACCTGAAAGGCTGTCCAGCTGTGAGCTGTACAGTGTAAGGTTTCACTGGGCTGAAAGCAAGCATGGGAGTTACTTTAGATATCCACTTCTGTGTTTTGATAACTGAGAGAAGGATGACAAGACTAGAAATTGGTAGAGTAGCTCTCAGTGTCTAGAAAAGAGCAAGAGAGGGGCTTGTGGCAGAAAGTTGGCTCGGAGGAGGCTCAGAACAACAAGCAAAGGAAAGAAACAGCCTCTGTCTGATGCCTTCTGTGCTCAGAAAGCAGGGCAACGTCTGTGCTCATGGAAAAACAGCTGCAGCAATGAAATACAAGTCTTAGGTTTTCTCTCTCAGCAGAAGCAGCATGCAACATGCCAGTACTGTATAGCAGCTCTAGGAGAAATACTGGCTTAGCGTTGGTGTCAAAATGGGTAATGTGTTTATGTTTTTATCCTTATTGAGTTCAGCTCTTCCATCTCTATTATTTCTCTTCCCATATGGAGCTGTTGCTGTAAATACATATCTGAATTCTATAGTAACATACTGAAGCAACAATCAAGAAGTGAATATTGTTATTGTAAGGAATATTCAGAGTAAGTTTATTTGGTCAAGTTTGGAAATTTCAGTTTCCTATTCTCTGCACTTTACATTTAGAAATCAAAATCTATAGGGATACATAGACATAATGACAAATTGTAAAAATGCATGTGTACTTGCCAGAGCCAGTAGTAGTCTACTGAATCATGCAAGCACTGTAAAGTTAGCTAAAGCACTAATTAAGTATGATCGTCTTAAAAGAAGAACTCATGCTTCATCTTGGCAAGATGCCCATAAGAAAAAGATAGATCTGTCACAGTCTTGCAGTCAGTAATTAAGGTTTAAATACTTCCTGGTCTAAAACAAGGATAGTTCAGACAGAGCTAACTGTTTAAACAATGTCCCTTATGAACTGATATTGCTCTTCTACTTCAGACTGACATGTTTTTGATGTTTTTTGTTTTGTTGTTTTTTTTTTGTCTGTTGGCTTCTGTGCAAAATATACAGGAAAAACAGAAATTAGGAAATACTCATCAATGCTTTTCATAGAAGCTGAGAGGCTAGAAAACAATTATATGGAGTAGCCAGAAGATTCTATGTGTAGATAGTTCAGAAAGTACAAATTTAAATATTGTACCTCAGAGTAGTTAGGAAAAAAGGTTATCTGTCTGGAAGTTTTGTTCTTTTCTGTCTGTGAACATGTGGTGCTATTGATGTTAATTGGATCCAAACATCTTTAGACTTTAAGGACTTAAATTTTATTTCCAAATCTTGCACCTCTGCTCACATCCAAACCTGCAAGGTCTGGAGGAGAGATCTCCATCAGTGCATCAGTGCTTCAGTCAAATTACTTCAAGGTTTTCATTAGTGAGTAAATAGAAAATGAAAGGTCAAGTTGATTGCACGTGCCTCTGACTTAAATAGGATAAACACATTGTATGTGTGTGTGATGTCCCAGTATAATTTTGGATAATGTGTTATCTTGTTAGATCTCTCAACTCACACAATCTATTTTTCATTCAGAAAGGTCAATCTAGTTTTAAGGAGGCAAAGTATTCAGGGGTCCAAGATCGTGAACCTTCTTGTAGTGCCCTATTATTCTGTGTTATATTTCTGGTGTAATCCAATACTTGTCTCGGAAAAGTCTGCCCTCTGGCACAGTCGTTCTACTGTCATAAGAGTTTAGTTTTCTGTGATCTCGGTGGTATTTAACAATAAGGTCTGAACTGCATGTTTAGCAGAAGCTGTAGGAACATGGATGTCAAGTCCATTAATCACAGATAAAAAAAAATCTCCAGGCTGGACTGTCAGCCAAGGATTAGCTGTGCCCCCACTGCAAAACCTATTCAAACAACCCACAGATTAGGTCAGCTTGTCCTTCTGCCCTGAGATATTTTTTTTTTTGCAGAAACTGGCAGTTATAGCTATAATCCTTACAGTACTCAAGGCTGTGTATAGGTATGTGATTGGGAGACCATAGGCTACTCCTGCATAGTGTTTACTTCACTGATGTCAGGCTGACACAATTGCATAAAATCGATACAAAACGGCATGTTGTGAGAAGCAGATGAATGTGTGAGTTGGAAGTATTTCAGCAGCGCTTTGATAGCAGCTTGTGAGCATGTTTCTGTAACTCAGCAATTCATTTTTGGTCTGACTTTATTTGGAAGGTAAATATTAGCTGTGTGTATTTATTAAAAGGTAAAGAAGACCAAATTATTAGCATGTTTTCTAAATATTATCTCATATATTGAAAAGATTAATTTTTTGTAGTGATGGTATGACTTGATATAAATATGTCTGAGTGGCACACAAAGCAGTCAAGCACATACTACAAAAATTTTGACTGGTTTGGCTGCTTTGGTTCGGCTAATGAAAACAAGCAGTGTCTCTTGGTGGTGCCTGGTGAACTATCTCTGTATTTTGAATGACGTTGTTCTGGTGATTTGTGATGGCTGAGCTGGGGTGACTTTTGTTTTTTACCTGGTTAAAAAGGGCACAAATATGTCAAGCAATCCTCTGTTGTGAAAGAATTTTTATTTTCCTCTACTGCAGCTCTCAATCAATGTGACTGTTCTGCATGGTTAACAACATAGCTCCAGAATCCTATTACTATGCAAAGTAATTTCAAATTATTTCGCAATTAAATTGCTCAGACCTTGTTGGATTTCCTCACTTTCTGGAGTTATCTTGAATTCTCAGAACCATTTGACCCCATTCATTTTCATTTGCAGAATTATCTGTAATTATCAGTGTTAATTATTTCTCTAGCTACTATTGTCATCACTAGCCAAAACTGACATTTTAAATCTGTGTCTTATTAGCAATTCTGATGCAGAGTCACTCGGTCAGCATGGTGTTGTGATCTGTGTCTCTGGCACCTTCACTGTCTGTCTTACCCCAGGCTGCCCAGAAGATCGGTGGGGAGCTGGGTGGGTTATCTTTGTTCTGGTGTTAGATGCAGTACTGTGTTCTTGCTGGCTGGCATCTGCCTGGGCTTCCAGGGGCTTCTCAAGGTGCTTGCCTCAGACCATATGGTGTGAGTTACTTCGCATCCTGGCCTGGCAGATTTTGTCCCCTTCACCACCTGCAAGGGTAGCTGGAGCCAGCTCCAACAAGCTCTGTGGGTATTTAATCTTGCTGGCTCAGGAACTGGCTTTGGACTGGGGTGTTAGGTGAGGGATGTGGGAGATGTGCCCAAGTAGTACCTCTCAGCACCAACTTTTGGATGTGTGCCTAGAAGGGCTTTTGTTCACTTTTGTCCTCCTGGTACAACATATTTTCTAAGTGTGCTCTTGATTTTTTGTAGCTTGACACACTAAGATTTATATTTAAAATGTAATTATACATTAATTAAAAGGTTGAGGCAGAGTATGAAAGCATAAAATGAGAATTGAAATTAAATGTCAAATTAGGGTTTGCTTTAGGGTCTGTAAAATTTGGTGTACCTAGAATATGGCTTAAAAACGTATAGCAGCCTTAACGATTTCTCAATATACCTATATTTCTGAAGCTCTTGAGAAAGGAAATATTTTTTCACTTTTGTTAGATAATGAATAATGGGCCAAGAATTGTGAATTTTGATATATTTTCAAAGAACCCTATATATAGTAAAATGATGACAAAGGAACATGTTTATTAAACTAATGTAGTGATTTTATCACTTAATTCTTGGTATCTTAGTACCTGATATTAGCCTGGTATGGTTGTCATGGTAACCGAACACACTGTTCCTTTCATTTGACCTTAAGTTCAAGCCCTGCTGTTGCAGCAGAAATGCCAAGAACACCTCCACTTTTATTAAAAACAAAACTATCAAATACATGCAAAGTGAAAAATGGGCAAAAAGAAAGGACAATCTGACATTACATTGTGAAACCAAAAAGGACAATAGCCTGCTTTCAGCTAGAGGACCAAGAAATAAAGTGTTAGGATATGTATGTTCATATTATGTTCTGTCCTTAAATTCAGCTGTGTTTGGATTGATTTGCTCCATCACCATTATATTTACTCTTCACTGTCAGAGTGGCAACCCTTTAAAATTTTGCGCTTATTTGCTTTGAGAACCTGTTGGATTTCTTCTCAGAAGAGCAGTGTTGACCTGCTCTGTTCCATGTACCAACTGACTGCCAAGGCAGGAAACGGTTGAAGATGCCAGAGAAGATTCAAGTTACAGTCTGGCCAAAGGAGAGTGTCTGCTGGCTGGTGTTCGGAGATTTCTGTGTTGTTTCTATCTAACTTGGTCACTCCACATTACTTTGGGGTAAGTGACTTCTTTGAGTTTCCGATCCATGTTCAAACAGAGTATATTTGGTCTTGGATGGAGCCCTGAAAATGAGGGAATTCTTGGATATTGCTGGAGCAGATGCCCTTTCCTGAGCCCAGCTGGTGGTGTGGGCTGGAAGTAGCTCCTGGGGTGATGGGGTGGGATGGGGACAAATGTGGGGCAGGAGGGCATCAGAGGCAATCCTAAGGAGAGACCAGAAGATTGTCTGAGGTCCTGGTGGATAACATGGAGACTGTTCCCGGGGATTCAGTGGGGACTGGGCAGAACTTGCTGCAAACTGGGAAGTGTTTGGAAGCTTCTGGACCTATGAGCAAGCCAGGAAGCAGGGACAGAGTGGGCAGGCTAGGGTGGGGATTGTTTGTAGACTTCTGAGAAGCCTTGCTCAAAAATCTGCGTTTTTCTACAGAGCCGTGAGGTTGTAATTTGTTGCCCAGAGTGGCAGTGGGAGCTGGTTTTGTGCTTGCTTTAAAGACGCCATGTCAGTCCCTTGTTCGGTCTCAGGATGATGAGTGCTCCCGTTGTGCTTTGCTCCTGTATGATGAGCTGCTCTCG